GTGCAAAATAATCCTTTAGACTATCACCCAATAATACATTTGACCGTACGTTTATCTACATTTTTGTCGGATTCGACTAATATCATCTCTTCTTAAGGATATAGTAAAGCTTCATCGGAGGGCAGCTGCCTAACGGGCTACGTACACGCGCCGGTGATTTCGTTTCCGCGAAATGAAGCAGCCAGGAGTGCGACATGCTACTCTTTCAAGAAGATGGCTGGCTGTATACCCCGAGGGCTTCCTCTAAGAAATACAACTAAGGCCAAGTTCAGACGCCGTACTTCACATGAGCCGAATCGAATGCAATTGAGAAAAATCCTTTGTTCTCCCTCATTAGCATTCGATTCGGCTCATGTGAAGTACGGCGTCTGAACTTGGCCTAAGGAGATGATTACCCGAAAGCGACAATACATAACAAAGCGAAGCTATACCAGTCAAACAACGGATCGTTGACCTGACCTTGTACTTTTAAATTGGTTTGCGAGAAGTTATTGATTCATTAGTTCAAGGGAAAAATTAATTGCCCTTCCCAATGCAATTCTCCCAATCCTCATCATCTTCCCACCGTTTTCCCCTATATTTTCCAGTCAATACTGAGCTATAATAAAAACTTTCAAGCTTTTCTTCCCAACCTTCATTCATTCGCTCCAGTGAGGATTTCTGCCATTTGAAATTTTAAACTAACAGCAATTAGCTTGTGGGAGAACATGATAGCCCCACCCACCATGCTAGACACAGTAAGCTATCAATGTTCTTTTCCACGGTACTTAACTACCTTCGAGATTAAAATGCAACTTGACGAAACAACACATGAAGGTTCGAATGCTCATCAAACATACGTTGAATTTCGAAAACCTTCAATGCAATGAGGGATAACTAAAATGTCGTCGGTTTAATGCTGCATTCCCGTGAAGGCAACTTAGGAGAAAAGTGCTGCACTGGAATTGTTTCATCTTTTGCCTACGAATGAAGAAAACCCACGTCGTTCACATAGCAAAAGCAGTCGTTTCCTGTTTTTATCCACTAGCATGGGGTATAGCAGTAAGAGCCTTTCTAAATTATGATCTGCTTCTAAATTATAATCATCAATCTAAATTATAAATTATGAACATTTTGCGTGCCGATGACAGCAATATTTTTATTTTTTGTGAAGTCTTAGAGGGGCATCCATTTGAAAACCGTGCAGTATTAAAATATGAGTCTACGTCGACCCTGTGAGATTTTGTTCAAATTCTTTTTTTTTTTTTTTTTTTTT